CAAAGTCAAAATATTAACAGAAGGTTTCAAATATTACAAAAAACATAACTGAAGATCTATGATCATACTGGGAAGACATTCTTTCTAACAAGTCTATATTGCACTTGTCTGATAATTCCTAAGTTTGTAAGAAAAATGAAGATGAGAATTATTTTCATTTTAACTATATCTTTTGTCATTAAATGAATGTGCTTTTAAAAATGTATGAAAATAAACTGGTACATCTGCACATTAAAATAAATATACGGTATGCAGAATGAGGCCAAATGATGTGGAAACATCATTTAGTACTGATGTATGCTGTATTTACTACTTATGACAAGACCATTATGAAAGTCTGCATTAATAAAATAAATCACATTGTTAGTAGTACAAAACTCAGAAAGTTATTTGAACAAAAATTGTTATCAAGCTAAAAACAAAAACAAAAAAAGCCTTTGTAATTAATACAAGATTATTGAAACTGTTAATTTGTTTTTTAAGTAACTTAACATGATAAAGACATATTCAATACTCCTATACATTAAATATACAAAAATCAGTTACATATTTTCTATAACTTTACATCTTAAAAAAATCTACAACAATGACAGATTTAATGTGGACATGTAGAAACATGCAATAAAGTCTACCAACATTTTCCTATGGGTAAGTGGTCTGCAATCATTTCTCTTGAAAACCAAGTTTACCTTTTTCAAATATAAAAGTTAGCATTAATTTGAAAAAGAGATATAAAAATATCTATTGCTTTTCAATTTTTAGTTTCATTAATACAATGGATATTGTTATGCATAAAAAATATACATTCGATTGAAACTAAATATAATCTAACAAGAAAACAGACAAATGGTCATAACTAAAATTAACCAAAGATAAAGTGTGAGTAGTAACTAAATTTTCCATTTGCAAATATAGGTCTAGCCCTATATGCCCAGTACGTATGAAGGCATGAAACTGGAACTTCTATTTTACAGAAATTTCATTTCAGAAAAAAAAAAAAATATTATTTTATATTATTATTTTGATGCTTAGAAAATGTTCTCCACAAATCAATCTCTTCCCTCCCCCCCCTCCATTTCCCTCACAAAATACTAGACAAACCACTCAAAAAACACTAGACAAACCACTCATTGAAAGTTAAAAAAAAAATTAAAAAATTACAGACACACACATACACATTTTTAGAAAGTAGTAGCAATGAAAAGTAAACACGGAAATCTTGCAATGGAAACAAAATCTTCAGTATGTTAATCTATATACGTTATAAGCTTACATCAGCTTGTTACATAATCACATCTGTTTTTCTAATTATACATGAAAAGAAAGATGAAAGCATAATAATGAACACTAAATTCTCACAGACTTTGCATAGATATGTTTGCTCTCATGAATGTATAAACTGAGTAAACTTCAGTAATGAACAGAATTCAATTTGATAAATTATCCTGATAATAAATGGGTTTATCTTAACTATTGAAGACCAATACAAGATTAACATTTAAGGTTATTTTTATTTATGATGAAAGGCTGGTTTTCAAACCTAACATTAGACAGGATAATTCTAATTCATGATGAAAAGCCGTTGGTCCTATCAAATATTTTGTGATAAGTGGCATTTTAAGCTAAGCCATTTTGATTGTTTTGCTTTATTCTATACTGGCTATCACCATCATCATGTGCTTTGCCAGACTGTATAAGCCAGTGTTTCTCAAACTTTTTTCTGGTTGTGGCGCCTTTTTTCGAGTAACATTTTTCCACGGTGCCCTAACCTAAGTAGAAGTATGACTTTTCGTGCCTTGGTTAAATTATTTATGAAGCTTTAACAATATTATGTGGAGCCCCTTTGAAGAGGTCGCGGCTCACCGGGACCCTGCGGCGTTCAGTTTAGGAATCACTGGTATAAGCATTTTTTACTCTCCACAGATCTTGGTGTTATGGATAAGTTTTACATGTATTCTTCAATGATATCTTATTAGAACATCCACTGTGTGTTGGTTCTGGGGCCCCATTTGATGTGTCGGGGGGGGGGGGGGGTAAGGAAGGGGAGGGAAAGGAAGAGGAGGAGGGAAGGAATAAACCCATTGCCCTCTGACGAGCATGTCGTAAAAGGTAACTAATTATGGATTTGCTGAAATCAGATATGTTGGGTAAAAAAAACATGCAGATATCAAAGGATAGCTGTAAACCCCAACCCAATTGCTCACTGCCTTTTTAAGGTTGCATGCAGAAAAAAAAAAATAGAAAGCCAGCTTTAGTTTGACTTTTTCTTCAGTGTAAAGGTTTAATGTTAAATGTTGAAGTAAGATTCAACATCATGGCACTTGGGACACTCCCATAAGTGCTCTGTCTCCATATTCAGCAGCATGTGAAGAGTCCCAATTACCATGGCACCAGTAACTGTCTGACTGTATATCCGTCTCACCTTTCCCTTGAGTGTTGAACTGAGGCCAGATCTCCTGGTGACTCCTCGCAACGCCATTCTCCTCAGGCAAAGAGTTAATTGTAAACTGTTCCCAGGTGGGTTCAGAGAACCCATTGTGGGGGAATAATAATATACCAACTGCCTCCTTAAAAAACATGTCATAAGAGTCCACTAATTAGGGGTTTCCTACAAAGTCAAAGTGTTTCTACTTGAGAGGCAAGGAACCAACAGTCTGGGTACTAGTAAGCCAGAAGTGCTTGCAAAACTCAAGTTCTGAAACAAGACTTAAACTTCAGAAGTGGATTAACAACCAGAACTAGAACTTTCTGCCAGAGTTTACAGTCAGTGAACATGAAGAAGTCAGAGGTTTTGAGGGAAGACTTCCCAGAAAATTGTTGGGGTTCACATGGGAAGATTAAATCATTATTTCTAGATTAAAACAAACGACAGACTTAGAAAATGTAAATTGGGAAGATAAAATCATTATTTTTAGATTAAAACAAACGACAGACTTAGAAAATGTAAATTTAGAATTAAAAAAAACAAAGCTGGAGGTGGACTGGACACATTTTAAGAATAAAGAAAGAGAAACTGCTGAGACAGGCAATGCAATGGACACCACAAGGACAGCAAGGAAAAGGCAGGTCCAGAGGCACTTGGAGGTGAACCTTTGAGGCTGAACTCGGACCAAACTGGAGATAGATAGGATGGCTTTGGAATGAATTAAGTGGTGACAATTTGTCTGTCTAATGTGCCTCTGGGTGGGATGAGGATTGATTGATTGAACACGAAGAAGAAGAAGAAGAATTCTGAGACTAATCATCAGTCGTGGTTTCATATTCACAGAAAATGGGACTTATAATAATTGCTCCATTCGTGTGCCAGTGAAGATTACATACGTCTATCAGTGTTTCATGTAAAAAGTTAAAAAGACAGCAGTCCTGGCAAAGTGACCAGTATGCTTATGCGATAAATGCATCAGGTAGCTGCTAGAAATACCAGGAACAAGAATGTAATGTGTAAAACAGTTTTTTTGCCACTGTCACATATTGCTTATATGGTCCTGCTAATCCCTTTTTTTTTAAATAGGCCTTTCCAAAGTATTATAGTATCAATAATTGTGTTAGAACAAAACCCCCAAAAAAGTAAGCCTATAAACTGACCTATAAATCTAAAAATTCAAAGAGAGAATAATCTTCTTCTTCATCTGCTTCTTCAGCATTCTGAGCCCTTGAGGTTCATTGCTGCAGATATCACCTGCCTCCATTCATCTCTCTGGTTGGCCTTTTCTTTCCAGTTGCTGACACCAAGTATTTGCTGCAGGTCTGTCTGGACATTATCTCTCCGTCTTCTTGGTCTGCCTCGTGGTCTACAACTATTTATCTCCCTTGTGTATACAGTTTTCACTTCTGTCATCTGACATTCTCTCAATTTGCCCCAACCATTTCAGTCTATTAGCTCTCATGATGCCAGTTATCAATGGTGATTTAAACAGATTATGAATTTCGTTGTTGCTTCTCACTCTCCATTCCCCGCTGTCTGCATCTTTGATGGGTCCAAAGATTTGTCGCAAGACTCTGTTTTCCAAAACCTGTAATAAGGCTTCATCTCTTTTAGTTGTAGAGAATAATCTTAGATTTAAAAAAAACCTCATGTCTTTTAAGAATTAAAGTTATCCACATTTAACTTCTGTCATAAATAGTGTCATTAACTTAAGATTAATAAATAATTAAAACTACTAATTAACAACGCAATGAGCGCTTCAAATATACAGTCATATAATAGCCGAAGTACTCACAATTCTAAAAAGGACATAAATTCAGACAATTGTAGAAAGCATGATTGTTTATTTTGTGAAAGTATTGAGCATTTATTACTTAAGTAGTTCTGTTGTAAAAGATTTTTGAAAAAAAAAAGACATTTTTTTTAACCTTCACAGCTTATGGTGCTAAGCTATACGTAATGGCACTAGTCGTCCGTGGCTAAGGCGTTGCGAGTCCGACTCGTAAGCCAGCATACCGCGATCAAAACCCACTGCAGGCTGCGTGGATTTTTGTCGTGGTATGGGACGTCGCAGGTCGACCCAGCCTAAAATGGGTACCAGGATGGGCTGTCCTGGGAAAGTAAAGACAGCCGGCGTAATGCTGACCACATTACCCACAGAGTGCTGATGGTCTGTAAAAATATGGGACGCTCTGCCCATATGCCCGATGCGCCGAAAGGCGTGAAAAGGGAACTTAACTTAACTTAATTGGCACTCAATGGATAAAATGGTCAGTATCATTCCGGCAAACTCACATTCCTGAAAATATTAGAATCTGGTATACATCCATCAGTCTAATTCCTCATTTATAAGTTCTGCCTTTTGCACATGAATACAACCACTGCAGTATATGCAGCTTCAGAATATGTTGGCAATACAGCTTAAGGCAGACACTTATAGACAGGATTTACTGCAGCAACATCCAGTGGATAAACCTAAATTTCTCCATGGTCTGTACCATTTTTTCTCACTGATTTTCAGTAACAGGCTTCCACATATTTGATATGAACAAAATCCTGATAACATCTTATTCTTCTACACATCTGTTCCTCGTTGTCCAGATTTGCATGAGAAGCACATCAGAAATTTGCAGTCGAAAGACCATCCATTTCGCTCCATCATTATTCTGTCTTTAGAATCGGATATTTCATCACCTTCCTCCTTTGATTTAGTGGAGCCGTTCTTAGTTCTGATGTCTAAGGGAATTTTTACCTGTAAATATAAGTAAATTGAAATATTATGCAAGTTATTCAATATATTTAAAACAAATTTTAAATAAAAAAGGAAAGGACTCTTCCCTACACCTTTTAGGCACATGGGGCTAGACCTATATTTTATAGACCAATTTGCACTTGGTGGGTGATGTGGTCATTATTGAGCCGGCCACCTTTACTTCCCAGGACTGCACCTGGTACCCCCTAAAGGCTGGGTTGACCTGGGAGTACAATATATGATACATGATAATTAATAATCTATGTAGAATGGCACATATTATAGCATAGTCAGATAATAACAACATATGATGATGTATACTTAGACAATTCTTACATTTATAGTCCGTGTACTTCTCTTTATCTTCATGTAATATTTGAGCAAAAGGATTATAGAGACTAACAAAAGGAAACGTTCATTGAATGACAAAAGGAATTCAGAATGTTATAACCCATATTCTTAATTCTCAGTGAATAATGAAGGAAAAAATGAAATGCTGCATACTTTAGATATGTAAACGTCATTATTTTATGTACGAAATGAGATTATGAACTTTTAAAGTATATTATCATGTGCAGTAGGTCTCATGACATTGTAAGTACTAGGAAATGAGAGGGCTGACAAACTGGCCAGAGTTAGTTAGTTAGGTTATGATCATTGCACTCTGGACATGACTATAGGTACTCAGATCCTTCCCTCAGTATGAACCCCAGCGTCTGGTGGCTAATAGTACCAGTTCTATGTTGATTAACAAGTCCTCTGATGTGACTGGTGTGCATCTCGTCTTTTTAGCTATGCCGAATTCAACACCCAAGTCTATCATTCTGGTCAATGATGTGGATTCACTGCCCCCAGAGTCCTCCACCCTTGCCATTTCTTGGAGGGCATTAATGATATCAGCATGATCCACAGGTTGACTCTCGGTAGTGACTGCGGATTCAGCCAACCTATCAGCTCTTTTACTCCCATCAACGCCTGCATATCCTGGAATGAAAATAAAGGTGACTCCACACACAGTGGATTTACTGGCCACAGTGTGACAAGCTAGATGTGGTCATGGTCCTTTGGGAGCAAGCGAACAGGGTGGAAGAACAAACAGATCATGATCTGGAGCACTCTGGAGAAAATGGTGCAGTGGGGAATGACTAGGGAAAATGGCAGACATTCAACAGTCAGAGGAAAGGGAAGATGGAAAACAGGGAATATGGCAGACTCTTTGAGGCCCAGAGGGTTTAGCATCACAGCCCCAAGGAGTAGTAAAGAGAGACATCAAATTGGCGCATCATGTGTTCATTGGGCTTCTAGGTAGGAACGTATGAGCGTATGATGCGTTCCTTGGGACCCAAAGAGTTAAACAGTGAGAGGAAAGGGAAGATGGACACACGATCTGACTGCTACTTGTATCATTGGAAATGGAATCCTGTAATCGTTGCTGAAGATGGAGCACCTAACGGAATGTCCCCCATGCTGTGATGTTCCTTTTGAACCCAACTCACTCAGCCGACCAGAAAAAGGTATTTGGAGAAATGTCCAGATTTGTTAGTCACACACTAAACGCTAGTCCCATGGCAACCATTGCCATTAGAGTGTGAAGTGCTTGACTAGGGCTATTCAACTAAGTTTGCTCATGGGCCAAAATTCTGAAAATGGGGATCATGATAGAAAGCGCGTTAGCACAACTGGCAATGATCTGCTGCCAGTTGAATAGTCCTGTGCTAGACTGTAAAATTTTATAGGTTACAACAAAATGAGATGGGGTGCTCACTTCTTTGCTAAGTAGACTCAAGGCTTTGAAAAGGGATCTTTACTTTGTGCGTGTGTGTGTAAGTTGAAATGTAATGTCTGTATGTGCTTGCATGATAGAGTTGTTTTCTGGACTTCTTGCTTTTCTTATTTTCACTCCAATTTTTAAAAGTAGCCGCTTGCTGTTGAAGATGGAGACTGAGCACTTATGGGAGTGTCCTGAGTGCTGTGATGTCGATTCTTAATTCAACATTCAAAGTAGCCCTAATGTCTCACACTGTGACCAATGCATGACAGCTATCATTTTGGGTTAATTTTTTTAAACAGTTGTCCATTTTCTCTAAAATCATTCAGAATATTTTTATTTCATCTATTTCTTCTAGCTCACTCTTTGCATTCTGCAATTATTTTACTTTTTGAATGCTTTCAAGTTGTTTTCATCCTGTTTTGTTTCTTAAGGACGTTTTTATAGCCATTTAGTCCTACTGATCGCCTATAAGCAAGTAATCAAAGGACCCTTTGTGTTTACACCAGTGGCACATCGGGTAAAGGAAGCTAGACTCATGTTTTTTAAGCCAGTTGGCACTCGGGTGGATGATGTAATCAGCATCATGCCAACTGCCTTTACTTCCCATGACACTACCAAGTATCCATTTTAGGTTGGGTCAGCCTGGAAACCAAAGTCGATTTTGAAAATAATCTACCTCATTGTCGATTAAAACCCATTATCTTCAGATTGGCAAGCGAGCATCTAGCCACTATGTTCCCGTGGGTCACCGTTGCATAGCGAATATTTTCTGCAGCTAAAACATGATTTTAGTAGTCAAGTAAAGGACGCATTCATGTCAGTGGCACCTAATGCATGTTGGAATCGGAATCAGAATGTAGAAAACAAAATTTCAAGCTTAGTCCTCTTTGAGCCACCTAAAGTCCTGCTATATTAAGGACGGTTTCTTTGCTATCTGAACTTGATTTTTGGATCTGTGTGGCGATCAGTTTTGCCTGAGTTTTTTTTTTTTTTTGCTTCAGCATGTCAACGTAGTCTGGCTTGGCGGGTTTTTTTCTGCTTTTGATTTGGCTGTTTCCTGTTTTGGGGAGTGGATTTGGCAGCCCTGAAAAGGACTGTCAGTTTTGCTGGGACGGCCTAATGCCCTTGATGGGCGATGTGTCAACATCGCGCTGGCCAGCTTTAATTCTCTGACTCAATGTAGATACTTCATCTTAGTGTTCACTGGCCGTAAACTCCAGCGGAAAGTTCTGGTTGTTCGTCAACTCCTGGATTTTGGTCTTGTTCCGGAACTTGAGTTTTGCATGTACACTCATTTTGCAGATCTTATTTATTTGAATGCATATTGTTAATGCCTTGCCTCTCAGGCAGATGCACTCCAACTTTGAAAGAAACACCCCTAATTAGTTGCCTCCTATGACATACTTGTTGGAAAAGCAGTGGGTTTATAGTTTATTCTTGCTTGATGTTAAAAATAATACATACATTCTGTGCCTTCTTCAAAACAGAGATTGAGTGCTGTCTTTTAGAATATAATTGCAGTCCCAAACATTTCCATGGTGCAACTCTCATGCCACTATCTGAAAGACAGTCTTTTTAAAAAACTGTCCACTGCAGAATTCGAACCCATGAACATCAAGAAATGTGAAACACTTTAGGTAACCTCTTAGCCACAGAACCACCCTGAATGATGATATGGTAGCTTTTGTTTTTCAGAATAATTTTCTTCTATTGATATCCTGTAACTTTAAGTAATTCTGTCCCAAACAATGCACTATGTGTGACTGGGTATTATTCATGTGTACCAGTCAACATGTTATGAATATTTTAAGACTTTACGTTTAGTGAGCGATTCTTAAGAACTCTGAAAATATATTTGTTTCCTGCACTCAGAATAGATAAGACCAGGCTCTCATATGGACTCAAGCCCTCATATGGACACTGGAAGGGGGACAAGAAAATGGGGAAGACCAAGAGGGACCCTGCATAGAGCCATCATCATGGAAGGCTCACCAATGGGCCTAAAGAACATCCAAGACCTAAAACAGATCGCAACGAACCACGAAACATGGAGAGCTATGATCTCTGCCATTTGCACCATCCTAGGCTCAAGAGAAAAGACCAACTAACTACCTACCTAAAGGTTGTTTATTTGCCCCCCCCCCCTCCCCTGGAAGTAATATATCCTTGAGTTGAGCACTGCCTCACTCGTACATTAGCTAGAACATTGTGGAACTGAAAGAGTTAATGAAGATCTGCATACACTAACCTCATCGTCTGTCCTCCTTCTTCCAAGTCTTTCAACTTCATCTGGGTCGTATCTCTTCAGTTCTAAAGGCTCATCTTTAACCTTATGGAGGTGCCTTGTATCAACCCAGGCCCGATGAGCAGAAGTGGCCGAACGTGTCCCTGCTTGACTCGGCTGGCTGGAAACTGGGGAACTTTCAGTTGAACGAGATGGAGCAGAGTGACTTCTCCTTGTACCTATATTTTGGAGAGAAAAAATGTACATGAAAAACCTTAACAATTCAGTACTTTTTTAAAATTATGTCATAATGAGTTTCCTTAAAAGTAGTTTTCTCTTGCTTTTAACACCCAGATTTCTCCACAAAGATAGGTAGCTAATAAAAAATTAAAAAAAATAAAAGTTCCTCCACACCCCAGTTATGGCCCCTGATACTCCACAGGGGGGTATTTATTCCCCCAGCTGACACATGTAGGCATTCTCCTGAGTAACAACCGACCTGGCTGCATCGAGATACCAGCTAAGTGATTTTGTGTATCTATGTAGTATTGTTTAATTTGTATGTGCTGATGAACGCTCAATAGCCACAACGTTCACGTTTTGTTTGTATTTGTTATATTGTGAAGCTTACTTATATACTTTTCATTCAGGTTTATATCTTTTCTCCACATGCCAGTGGTGCAGCTAGCATACGAGGCTAGACTCAGACTTGTATAGACCAGATGACCCTCAACGGGTCATGGGGTCAACATCATGCCAGCCATCTTTACTTCCCAGGATTTTCCCTGGTACCCATTTAAGGCAGGGTCGACCTGGGAGCCAACTTCACATCTGAAAAAATCCAGCTCCATGCCGATCTGAATTCTCGATCTTTGGATCCACGGGCAAACATCTAGCTTATATATAATAGTGGCTCTCATAAGAAATATTTACACTACAGATATCCTCCTGTTGATAGTTTTCTTAATTATTTCAAACTTTCACCATGTAAGACGAGCATACTATTTATGATTTCTTTGTTGAGTGCTCGTTAACAACTTCATTTTGCAGACATTATTTCTACCTCTGAGGTTTCATAATAAATCTGCAAATACTTTCCATCCTCAACGAATCCTCTGCTCAATGGTTATTGCTAAGTGGTTATCCTTTTTAAGAAACTATTTACATCTTCAACTTATATTTTCCACAAATGTTGAAAGCTCTTGAGATGTTGCTATTTTGCCAAAATGAGAAGTAATGTCTCAGCCTTCACATCTGATAGGTTGCTGCATTTTAGTTGTTATTAGGCAGCTTCTTCAGGTCAAGCAGTATTCTGTTTATGAATCTATATTTTAGCATCACTTCACAGGTCCCATGTAGTTAGCATCTTTTGGATATTTTCTCCAGGTCATGCCAGTGTTTTAGGAAATAAGCGGAAAGATGGGGACGGAGAGCTTATGGGGGTATCCTGAGTTATATGATGTCGATTCTGAATTCAACATTCAAATTTGTGTTTTTGTTTTAGCCATTTACTAATGCTTGCACCTTGAAATAAACAATACTTTTTAGTCTACAAGATTTCATGTTTTCAGCATGTCATCATCATATGTTTCTGCTGGATTCATGATGCGGACTGACATCTGCTTAATTTCTTTCTTTCTTTCTTTCTTTATTTCTTTCTGTCTGTCTGTCTGTCTGTCTGGTCTTTCTTTCTTTCTTTCTTTCTTTCTTTCTTTCTTTCTTTCTTTCTTTCTTTCTTTCTTTCTTTCTTTCTTTCTTTCTTTCTTTCTTTCTTTCTTTCTTTCTTTCTTTCTTTCTTTCTTTCTTTCTTTCTTTCTTTCTTTCTTTCTTTCTTTCTTTCTTTCTTTCTTTCTTTCCTTCTTTCTTGACTGTGAATTGTCAATAAGTTTCCAAGTCAGTAAGTCATCATCATACTCAAAGTTGTAAAGAACTAAAGAGGAACTCCAAAAGTGATCAATTTTGTAAAAAGAACTCGTCTTCCAGTGTAAATCAATGAAGTGATTAAAATAATAATAAGAAAATAAGCTTTCATAAAATGTTAAAAATAGTGACTGTCAACATGTAATTTGTTTTTGTGTACTCTGTTTTCGGTCCCTTGGAATTCATGTTAATGAGGTTTTACTCTGTATGTTAAAAAGTCTGAAGCATGTCTTTTATAGAGCATCCAGTCAAAATGGATGATGGGCACAGTCACTGTTTTTAGTCGTGGTCAATTCTGTTTGCTTCTCACAAACAGTGGCTGTTGCATTTTTCTCCATTTGTAGACTGAAAGGATATAGTTATGTCACCTAGCTACTGGGTTGAGTGCATGGTGCCACACTGTGAGCTGCAGATTTCATTTGGAATGTTTTCTGCTGTGACCAACATGGTATTGTGAACTGTAGATTCAGAAAATGACATGTGGCCTGTTGCCACATAATTGGTGGTGCCTTATATAATTGAAATTAATCGTATGTGCAACTGCTGATCTGTTTGTAACTCTGCTACTGTCAATAATGAACTGAACTTGTAATGCTGGACTGTTCGTGTTAGTACTTCTGATGGAAAGCTTATGCTTTAATGCGTGTGTATGCAAGTGGGTATGCAAAGACAGCAGTCTGTCAATCTTTCCACAAGGGACAGAGATGGATATTCTGTGTTTTGTTATTGTTGGCACAGGAGCAGAGCAACTATGGGGTAACTTGTTTGCTATGAAGCTGAAACTAAGATTACCAGATTACAAAGATTACTAGATTACTCAGATTTTCAGATTACTAAGATTACTAGACTACTAAGATTACCAGATTACTAAGATTACCAAATTCCTAGACTACAGGATTACCAGAAACCAGTTGCAGTATTGTTTTGGTTGTTGTGTGATTTTTTACAGTTTCTAGTTGGCCGTTGCTTTATGAATGAGAGATCTGGTAATCTGGTAATCTGGTAATTTTAATTTCAGCTTCATAGCAAACGGGTCACCCCATCCTTGCTCCGCTCCTGTGCCAATGAAAAACACACAGAATGTTTATCACAGTCCCTTGTAGAAGGACTGACAAACTGCTCTCTCAGCAAATCTAGCATACACTCGCATTAAAAGCATATGGTAGCCATCCGAAGTGCTAACACAAACAGTCTGACGTTAGAAATGCAGTTCATCATTGATGGTAGCAGAAGTCATTAAAAGATCAGTAGTTGCACACGCGATCAATTTTAATCAAATAATGGCCCCACCAATATTGCGACAACCGGCATTGCGCCATTTTATGAATCTACAAATCACACCACCACGTTGGTCAGTCGAAAAACATTCCAAATGAAATCCGCAGCTCACAGTGTCATGCCATGCACTGAACTCAGAGGCTGGGCAACGAAACTATATACTTCCAGTCTACAAATGGAGCAAAAAAGCAACGGCCACAGTCTGGCAGAAGCAAAAATGTTTGCCCCGGCTCAAAACAGTGGCAGTGCCTAGTGTCCATTTCGACCTGAAGCATTATGTGAGGGTTAAAAAACGGTCACCCCAGCAGTACCCTCACTATTAGCTGGGGAAGGGATTTAGGAAATTACATCCATCAGCAAGCCTCGCCCCAACAATGACCTGACTGCCTTCGTTAACGACTGTTCACCCAACAGCCATGCAGTTCTTTGGCACGAAGGAGACACCTTGAACTTGGGTTTCGGACTGCCGACTCCCTACACAAAGATATATGTGTGCTACTGGTGTCCCATAGCCAAAATACTATCTCACTGTATTACTAAAATTCAGGACTGCCGTAGAAAGGTGCACCCAAGGGACGGTTTCAGAATGAGAGATGCTAATACCCTTGTCAAAATAAACATAAAACAGTCTACTACTAAACTGCCTGCAGCTAAGCTGATTTCAAACCCCTGTATGTTGGAACTGTGTAACTGTTTTCATAATCTCTTAGCTGCAGACACCAGTATATACATATACAAACAATATTGTGTGGAGATATCAGTCAATCAATCAATTAATTAATCAATCAATCACATGCCGTCTCCACAATGAAGGTTGGCTGTAATGGATCTCCAATAAAGCCCTGTCTCTTGTCTTGATTGAACTCTCAGACTGCTGTTTGTCCATCTCTTGATTGTGTCCTCCCATTGTAACATTGTATACCTCTTGCTCTCTTGCCCTCAACCTTTTTCTCTAGTATGGCTTTTAACAGTAGGTTATGTCATTTATTGTAACGAAAATATTTTAATCGTCTCTTTTTTATTTATTTCAATAACTCAGTTTTCATTCGCAGTCTTTCCATAACCTATGTATTTAATTGTTTTTTGTTTCAATAAAAAGTGACATCCTCATTTTCAGAGACTCATTTCGATTTTCTAGTTGCCTGTTTACTGTCCAGTTTCTGCATCACACAGCAGGGTTGAGTATACTTAACATTTGACAGTTCTCATTTTAGCGTGTTGTTTATTGCTCTAGATGTCAATAATTTTCACATCTCAGTATGGAGATAAGCACACACAGAAACATCATTCAACAGGCAAACAATGCATCATCCCATGTGGGAAGAAGCATGGACAGAGCAGATATCATCAATGCTGTACGGACTGGGCTAGTGGATAATGACAAATCTCTGACACTAACACGATTGCGTGACATGGGAGTAAAGCATGGGCAAGCACATCTATGCCCCCCTTTGAGGCAGAGAAGGAGACATAATAAAAAACCTCTCATGGCAAAAATTAGTAGAAATATTTTGGAGTAGTTGCTGAATCGGAGTACTGAGCAGGCATGGGAATGCCCAATGTGCAGTGTCATCGATTGCAGTAATATAACTTTAAACATTTTGATGAAAAGAATTAATCAAATCACCTTTACGTTTTGCTCCAGCTGGACATTCTGAAACTTCGCTGCCACTGTCTTCCTGACCAGATGATGAGCCTGTAGCTTCGCTATCTCTCAGCATACTTTCATATCCACTGCTAGTTCCTCCATGGAGGTTTTCCGCTTTTGTGCAAGGTCTTGAGATGCCAGAGTGGACTTCTGTGCTCACAGTGCTTTATGTGGATTAAAATGTAAAATATTTTGGTAATAGCTGTTTTAAAAGTACAGAATAATTGAACTATACATGATGCAGGATCATGGAATGCTCTCACCTAAACAGGACTAATGGAGTGGAAAAATGGCCAAGGTGTTGGTCAAAGGGAACAATATAAACATAATGCATTAGACGGCGGATGAAAATTGTTTCTGCCTTCCCCCCCCCCACCTCCTTTTTGAGAAATAAAATTACAATAAAAATAGTATTAAGAAATTGGGTTGGCAATATGTGTTTGATAATATATAGTTGTAATAGAATATTTTATATATATATATCTATATATATATATATATATATATATATATATATATATATATATATATATATATATATATATATATATATATATATATATATATATATTACATATATATATAATATTGTAGAATTTTGGTTTGTTCTTTGTTAGAAAATAAAACTAATTGACAGGAAGATCATCAAGCTGTTGGTCAACAGGAGAGGAAAAATGTAACAGATTTTGGAAGACTAAGTCCTTTATTAAGAAATACTGCAATGTTTTCACTACTATCTATGTGAACATTAGGTTGTGAGGCCCCAATATCTTCCATGGTATGACTGTCTGAAAGCTATGAGAATTGTTTTCTTCTAAACTACCCACTGTGAGAATCAAACCCTGGTTAAACATTCTGGAGAGCATTGTGAAACCATTTCACTAATCGCTAAGCCACAGAACTGTACACACTACCATTACCATTTTTTTTTTTTAAAGTTGTAAAGATTGTCAGTAGATGAACTTGATGAACCTAAGTACAACGATTACTTCAAGAAAATTGGTGCAAGAATGCTGATTCAACAAAAGTATGCATAAGTGGCCAATTAGCACTGAAATAATGTAAAACAACTGAAGTACTGATCGAAAGCTCAAACCAGGGGCACACATTCAAATGGTGAAAGGACATACAATTGTTGTGGAAATTGTAAGATTCAAGAACAGAACACGTTGAAGTGGTACAAGAGTGCAATAGCAGTGAGAGACCACAGAAGACTGAGAAGAACGTAAGTACAAGAGAGCAATTTTGCTTCAAGATGTAGGTCCAAATTATAGACTAAAGAAATATTCATAAGTGGCAGCGGACACATGTTGGTAGTAAATTAATTAAAAACTAGATGAGGAATATAAAGCACATAATTACTGTCTGCATTAATTTGCACTGAATGTATGCATATGTGGTGAGACAGTTCATAAAAGATAGACATTTTGATGAAAAATATGTGCAGTGTACTAGCTTGTCAAAAACACAAATTTATTAGTTTGATAAAAAATGAAGGTTCTCAAGCAACATTACAATGGAACTCACTGAAAATAATAACAAATGAACAATCACAACACACAGATAGTACATTTTATGTAAAATGTAATTTACAACCTATAATTATTTCATCACAAGAAGTGGGTAGTCATTGCCTTGTAGGATGCAATTTTTAGTTATTTTGAAGCCCCACCCTGGCTTTTGCCGGGGGCCCTAAATATAGCTGGCCCGTAAATATGGTCCAGCGGCTGAACAGGGTTTCTGGGATCTCTCCCCAGGCCTCATCTGCATGATGGCACTTTGTGTCACCAGGTGTTTATCGCTTGTGTGATGTTCTGGTGGGGTACAACTTACCTACCTACAAGAGGTACACTATAATGCTTAACGTCCCAATGTGGAACACAATTTTTCGTTATCTAGAAAGCTACAGCTGCCATTTTGAAACATGGAGTGCATTAAAAATAAAATTAAAGAAGAAGAAAAAAAAAAATAAGAAAGAAAGAAGAAGAGGAAAAAAAAGAAACAGCTACGAACTTTAAGACAGTCAAATCTTGGCAATATATGGAATATTTCAACATATCCATCAATCCTTCCAAATGCTTAACTCTTTGAGTACCAGCCACCTTATTCGGTATGTACTGATTTTCATATCATCATCAAGTGCCTTGCCAGCTAGAGTAGGTGTTCAAGCATCACCATAGATCTCGGCCTTTGGTGTTCTGGATAAATTTCACTGAGGATATTCGTCCATGCCAATGTTTTAAGACATCCGCCTTGATTTCTCTTGGTCTGCCTCTGCATCTTCTCCCAGTGAACTTTCCAGCTGTCACAATATTTTCTAGTGCTTCTTTTATCATCACATAACCAAAGAACTTTGTTTGTCTCCTGCTCATTGTTGCATATGATGTTCTACTTTAATATTCTACTTTCATTAGCCATGTCCAGGCAATTATTGTTTGTTATTCTGGCAGTCCAAGGTATTCGCAACATTTTTCTCAAGAACCACATCTCATTTGCCTCCAAACTCTTTTTAATTTGTTTGCTTACATTCCATGATTCACCACCATACAACACAACAGGCTTGATATAACATTTCAGTACTTGTTTTGATTTCATATAGACTGTATATATTTCTTATTTTATTCTGTCAGATACATCTGTTACATTAATTTATTGATTGAATTCAAGCAGTTACTTTAACTAAAGATGGTGGACACATCCTGAGAAGCGAACAGAATCATCAGGCATCTAACTGGGAAACAAATGGACTGAGGAGGCAAAATGTTCAGAAAACCCGTCCCCTAAAAAATGTTGATGAGAGAGGTCACATGTGGTGGACTGGATTCTATTCACGAGAATGAAACAGGATAGAACATAATTCCTCACATAAGTTTTTGGGCCCATTCTAAAGGGGAAAAAAAAAGAATGCCATTAAAAGAAATGACTAATCAAGTGTGATAATTCGAAGTTGGGGTGCATCTGCCTGAGTGGTTGGGAACCAACAGTTTGCATACAAAAAAGTCAGATCTGTTAAACAGATATGCATTCAAAACGCAAGTTCTGGAAAGCGATCAAAGTATAAAAGTTGATCAACAACCAGAACTTTCTGCTGGAGTGTACAGTTGGTAAACTTAAAGAAGAAGAAAAGACTTGAAGACTAGACTGTGAGCCCTATATGATGAATAATGGCACGAAGAGATGATGATGTTTATTTTAACTCTCTACATATCATAGATCAATTATTTTAATTTCTGAAGACCTAGAAATTGATAAAAGTGCATTGTTCGTTTTTGGTGCCTAGAGAACACGACACACACACAAACATCGTGATTGTAACTGACTCAGAAAGCATGCTGAGGAAGATCAGGAAGGGCATGTTTCATGCAGAGTGGCATGCCTCGCTGTGGAGGACATGCATGAGGAGTATTGTCTGGATTTTTTCGCCTGGTCACGCCTGTGTGTTGGGAAATGAACAGGCAGACAGACTGGCTGGCTCTGCACAGCTTGGTGAAATACTAATGCATGATAGGGCAGACGTGGTTAATGCCTTGTGGGAGAGCGTGTACAGTTCGGAGAAGCAGATGGATCCTCACAGTCTAGTGAGATTGATGCAAGGGGGAGTGACGAGAGGTTCTGGCAGATGCTCGAGGCTCAGAGGAAAGGCAAGACGGATGTTTAATCAGAATGCTACTGGCACCATTAGTATCATAACTCTTTCCTTGCTGCTGAAGATGGGAACGGAGCGCTTATGGGAATGCCCCGAGTGCTGAGATGTCAGTTCTTGAATCAAATCAAATCAAATCAAATCATTGTTCATTTAAATATCATCTTCTCTGCACATCAGACATAACCATAATGGCTCCGATCTCCTTCTGAGAATATCTCCAAGTGCTTTTAGGCTAACAACTCCCATTCTATTTTTGCTGATGTAATTATGGGTGGCTCCTGCATTTTAAAGTAGAATACTGTGACAGAATGTGCTGAAGCAAACAACTGCCCAAGAACTGAAAGAGTTAATGGTCAATTTAGACCAAAAACTGTCCACGCCAAGACAGATCGATAAACATACAGAAATATATAAAGCTGACATGGGCACATTTTTTTTTTCTTACTGAGATTATTTAGTGTTAATCATTTAAAGCCTAGTGACAGATGTAGAATATTTAAATCAGATATTAAACCTTAAATTCGTTTGGAGAACTAACATCAAGAATGACTAAAATAATCACTAACAAACTAAAAGTATTCATTAAGTATTGTTTGCAAGAATATAAGAACTAAAACAAAATCGCAATACAGTGTAAGAAAAGAGCTTCATAGATTCCACAGGTAAGAAAAAGATGCTGCCACAGGAGAGGACACATGCAGAGGCAATCTTATATTGTATAAAATAACAAACCTAGAATGTCATCATCTTAGAACCAACAGGCAAAATATAGATACCTTCAAAATCTGAAGAAGAGAATTAGAGGCTGATATAAATTAATAATATGGGGAGGGTATGGAAGGAACCGCACAAGATGGCAATAGACAGAGCAGTGTGACATGAATTAGTTGAGGGTCTTTACGCAGAGTATAATAAAGGTCATTAGATGAACTCTGACGGTAGGTTCAAAGACTCCCACAGGAGGCAAAATGGGGGGATGGGGGGGGGGGGGGAATAAGTCCAATGCCCCCTTCCCTACACACAAAAAAAGTTAGTTGCTATCCTTTGCAGGACGTTGCAGAACCAACCCAAATTTTTTTTCGCTTTTGTAGTTTTCTAGGCAAATTTATGTTCAGTAGTTTGCCACTGCCTTTTGACACCACTGTCGAAACCAATACAACATGGTCTGCTGCCAAATCACCTGCAGCTGGAATCAAACCTGGCACCTTGGCATTAGGAAGCGCATTTGTATGATTAAGCCACAGGTGCTGAGAATCAAGATATAAAAGTTGACTCATCTGGGGTGTTTCCTTTGAAGTCAGAGTGCATCTGCCTGAGAAGCAAGGAACCAACAGTCTACATACAAATAAACCAGACTTGTAAAATGGATGTGCATGCAAAACAAAAGTTCTCTAACAAGACTACAGTCCAGAAGTGGATGAACAGCCAGAACTTTCTCCCAGAGTTCACAGCGAAGAGGAATACAAGAAGAACAATCGAAAAGGTAAAGTTAAAAATTAGTGAATTAAGCACACACTATAATTAAAGATGAATAAAAGTATCCAAACCTGTTGTCGCTCCCATGTCCACTGCTAGAGTGACTTGGAGTTCGAGGCTTTGTGACGGTAGCGTAAGGAGAAAGAAGCCGTCTTTCAAGAGCAACAATCCCGCTATCATTACCACTGTCTGAATCATTTCCCTTGCCTTTATTTACAAGTTCCGAAAGTTTAGTTGTGCGATTAGTGCTGCCTCCTTTAATATCCTTTTCTTTCTCTTTCTTTCGTAACTTACCATTGTCTTTGGTCAACGTGGACAAAGATTTAGAGCAGAAGGATTTGTTTGTAGATCCATTCAATGTTTTAGGGCCTGCCTTTAGAGCTGGGGATGAAGATGATGATTTAGAAGTTGAAGAAATATGAGGACTTGAAGCTGCTGATGACTGAGGGCTGTGTGAAGTGAGCGATGAAGAAGCTGTTTTATCACTGCGAACGAGTTTATTTCGGCAAGTGACATTTGATAAAGGTATGCCTGATAATTTACCACTGGGGGATGTCTTCTGCTGAACACCAGGTGAGTCTTTTACAGAGTGAGTAGGTTTTGCTGTACAATAAATAGATCGGGAGGGGCTGTAGTTAACGGAGGTTTGTGAGTTTGTAGCAGATTTTGGAAGCCCACTCTGTCTGAACACTGGTGACAACTTAGTTGGGAGTGGAGGTTTATTTTTGGCTCCCAGTTTTGGAGATGACAGGTAACCAGAATTACTGCTATCACCCTTCCCACAAATAGATTGCACACTAACATCATTGTCACAAACAATGTCTTCATCCACACAGGACTTCAATGAGGTAGATGGATATTCCATGCTAGATTCATGGCCAGCAGTAATGAACATGGCTTCCAGTGATGTGCCTTGTGGGCAGTTGAGCTGAGTCTTGTTGAATAAATCTTCCTCTAGAAATACCTTGAGAAGATTTGGATTAGAAGCTCCATCAGGTTTTCGACTAAGCATTGGCCGTGATGTCTCATACACATTGCTACCAGAAGATGAGATACTTGTTTGTTGGCAATTAGTGGCTATGTGGTGAGCTATCTGGGCAGCCTGTTTAGATTCTGTCAGAATCTTAGTATGCTGAACGAGTAGTGAGTCTGCTTCCGGATTATTTGAATCCCGATCTTGCTCATCAGAGTCTTTGTAGCTACATGACATATTGCTGAATGTTTCATTGTCAACTTCTGAAGCAAGTCGAGTACCATCTTTAGTTTTCAACAGTTCCAACTGTTCTTCTACTTCATGTTCATAAATGGATTCCTGTATAGTTACAGAATTATCAAAGCTACTGTCTAAACTAGTATCTATTGCTATACTGCATTTAATATCATCTGAATCGTATGCTTCACATCTGAGATTTTTACTTGCTTTATGTGTGCCCATATCTTCCTCGCTTTCTGATTTGAAGCCAGTCTCTTCAGCAAGTCGTTCAAAATCAGAATCATGTTCTGTATTAGTTTCTGCATCTGCCATTGTGACATTTTCAGATGGTGCAGTTACCTGTGCTGGACAATGCCCACTGTGGTCAAGTCTACTGATGTTCGAAACAGATCCTGTAGACTCCTGTTTTGAGGAAACTGATTTAATCCACTGGACTACACGATGAGTCGGACTGGCTGAACCAGGCAGCTGAGATTTCTGCAGCTTGGCCATATGTGATGCTTCCAGTTTGCTGTGTTTCCTTGAGACAGATGGAGAAGGACCTGGGGATGGCAAAGGGGACTGTGTAGAAGAGTGGATTTTCTTAGGAGAATCTGAAAGTTTAGATCCTCTGGCAGATACCATAGGACTTGACGATGCATCCACTTGTTTGCTATCACTACTAGCAGAATGTGGGCCAGCAATATTAATTTTATTGGGGTGAGAACTTTTGGATTGATCATCGCTGCTGTTGAGACTAATAGATGAAGAATCAGCAGCTTCCACATGTAAAGAAGAGTTACTATCTATACTCATACTACTCTCTGGGCTGTCTTTAGTTTCCAGTATGTGTTTCACAAGAGCTTGTTTTAAAGTCTTTTCATTCACTCCACTAGACATACCTAAGCTCTGATGGCTACTTTTAGAGGTGTACTCAGCCTTACTGCATGTATGCATGGGCTGAGACAGGCTGCTTCCAGTTAGCATTTCTTTTGGACCATCCACCCACTGCTCCTCAGCATCAACTTTTTTAGTAGCAAGGCGCTTTGATGAAGAATCTGTGCGATAATGTTGTTGATGATGTTCATCAGATGATGATAACACTGTATGTGGCTGCTGCTGTACAACGAAAGCTGGAGGTCCATCCACCCACATCTCACTATTCTTTGGGTCTGGATAGATAGCAGCTCCAGGACCATCGATCCACTGTTCCCCTTCCAGTGGCTGCTGCTTCTCATGAATAGCTTTAGCCAGTTTGCTCTGGGAAGAGTGACAGTGAATTTTGGTAGGTCTTTCTTGCCAATGACCTGATGCTGAAACCCCATCGCCAGCAGCTATTCGGCCATCAGGAACACCAGACATCTTAGAACCCAAACCCATCCTGTGACCCATTTTAACCAAACCTGGGTTAGGTGACCCTGGCATTGATTGCATTCCTTGAGGCTGCGTCATTTTTACAGCTGCTACAGCAGCCATTGGTGGTGGAGACATTAGAGCTCGGATGGGAAGTCTGGATTCAAGACTTCTGACAGAATGCATACTTCGTCCACTATCAGAATCATCCCCAGAAGATCTAGATCCACTGGGTCTTCTTGGAAGTCGTGGATTTGTTCTCGGTACATGTCTGGGTGGACCTTCATTATCTGTCAGTTCTCTGTCACTCAGAGATTGGCCATTTGCCCCAATATAAATAACTGTGTCACATGACTGTTCGCTGCTGGAGGTGTAATCTGGATCAGAATGTGGCGATGAATATAGTATATCCTCTCTCAAAGTTCCCATTCGGAGTCCTCTGTAAGGACGTCTAAACTTGACATCCCCATCAGTTGAACTATCTTCAGAGCTGGTACTCGAAAACTGCAAGAAAAAAAAAAAATAGTTAGCCCTCTGTCATTCTGCTTGCTTGTTTGAAATAAAATAACAAATGTAACATCTAGTGCAGATAAAAAAATAACGTGTGCTACTAACAACATACTTGCTACTGTGGCCGGTTTAGAATGTTTGAAGAAATGGGGCTTCTAGTAATTCCCACTAGTCTCTGGGTAGTGAGATCGGACGCCTGTGTGCATTGTTGCTCATGTAAAAAATCTCTTGGCAGTAGGGAATCGAAAAGAGTAGCCTAATGGCACTGCCCGGGTAAAAATTGGAGTTAAAAATCGATCCCAAGTATTTCATGATCCTCGCCGGTGCTACAGAGTCTGTGCACTGGGCTGAGCTTCTTTGGACTCAGACTTGAGTTAGAAGAAAAATGGAGCACGTGTGGGTTACTACCCGTGTGCCATGATGTTAATCTGTTGTTCAAAACCTCAAACCTTGAAGAGATGGGATTTTCAAGTCTGTGTATATATTTTGAACTGCTGATGTTATTTTCCTTTACCCCAATATAAGTGCCACTCAATACCTATCAATTATTTATATTTCTCTTGCTGTATGAAGAGTCTCAAAGATTCTCTAGTAAATTATAATTCAGCTACTTTACATTTAATTTAATACGTGATTCTACAGAAAATCACAAAAATGTGATGTTAACCAGGTCTGTCTGTATATACTGCTGCTTCTGCTACTGTAACTTTTACTGCTGCTTCCGCTACTATAACTTTTACTGCTGCTTCTGCTGCTATAACCTTTACTGCTGCTTCGACTACCACAACTACCAAGACACCTGATTTCTATTTCTATTACTACTGCTGCTGTTATCACGACCCCCTGCAGCTACTACTGCTACCCTAGCCTAAAGTTATCTGCAAACTACAGTTACATGTATATTCAAAGTCAAGGTATTACACTACATCATCATCATCATGTGCCCTGCCAACTGGCGTAGGCGCTCATGCGTCTCCACAGATCACGATCCCTGGTTGCCTGGAATAGCTCTCTTGATGATATCCCTCCATGCCATCGTTTCAGCTCATCCAGCATTATCTCTATTGGTCTGCCTCTACCCCTTTTTCCACTGATGTTTCCAGTTGTCATGATGTTTTCCAATGTCTCTCTTCTCATTATGTAGCCAAAGAACAGTGTTTGTCTCTTTCTTATATTACATTACGCTCTACAAAAAAAAAAAAAAAAAAAAAAATTAATGTGACAATACAGTAACCTGTCTTTTGTTTTGCAATGTTATCAGTCAAGGGTTTGTTTTTGTCTACATATTTTCCCCTTTTGCGATTTTCTAAAGTAAAATGATCTGCAAGGTATCCTAATGACTTATGTGGTCAAATGACAGTTCACTACTGTCAAAAGTAGCTCTTAGTATATAGTGAGCAAATGAAGGTATTTATGCACCCCAACAAAAAATGTGTTCATGTTTATTATTCGACTCATGAGAGCTGACAGGGAGAAACCATTGATGGGTTGGGGGGTGTCACCCTATCGTCCCAGAGAATACATATTTTCTAAGTCTATTTTCTCAAGTTCATGCTGGTGTGTTGAGCAACGAGCAGGCAGATAGCTGGCCGGATCTGCACCACTTAATGGTGAACTGATCTATAACAAGCTAGATGTTGTGAGGGCCCTCTGGGAGCGAGTGAACAGTGCGGAGGCACAAACAAATAATTATGGTCTGATGAGAATGGCGCTGCAAGAAGCTACCGACGCTCAACACTCAAAGGAAAGGCTAGATGAATAAACAGTCCGCATGTTACTAGTGCCATCAGAATTTGATCTCTTCCCTTGCTGCTCAAGATGGGGACAGCGCTTATGGGAGTTCTCGAGAGATGTAATATTGAATCTTAATTCAATATTCAAAAAGAGGGGGTTGGAGGTGTGAGTGCGTCTAAGGGTGGGGGGGGGGGGGGGGGGGAGCGCATTATTCTTAGCTCTCCATGTCCCATCCAGTTTTACACTAAACGGCATTTCTCCATTACTATTAAACTTCTCTGTCAAGGTTCTATTATTTGAATTCCTTCTGACCCAAACATTTATTTATCTTCATTACCATCCTCCTAACCATTTAAACTTCTCTGTCAAGGTTCTATTATTTGATTTCCTTCTGACCCAAACATTTATTTATCTTCATTACCATCCTCCTAACCATTTAAACTTCTCTGTCAAGGTTCTATTATTTGATTTCCTTCTGACCCAAACATTTATTTATCTTCATTACCATCCTCCTAACCATTTAAACTTCTCTGTCAAGGTTCTATTATTTGATTTCCTTCTGACCCAAACACTTATTTATCTTCATTACCATCCTCCTAACCATTTAAACTTCTTTGTCAAGGTTCTATTATTTGATTTCCTTCTGACCCAAACATTTATTTATCTTTATTACCATCCTCCTAACCATTTAAACTTCTCTGTCAAGGTTCTATTATTTGATTTCCTTTTGACCCAAACATTTATTTATCTTCATTACCATCCTCCTTTGAGCGCCTGTATGTCACATAAGGCTCCCAGTCAATTCTTGCACCAAACTCTATCCTGTACAATTGTTTAAATATCATGGGTGGGGCAAAGACAATGATTCTGAGACTAATGTTGCGAATATGTTTCACTTTTGTTTGTACCCTTTTTTTTGTGTGGAGGGAGGTATTTAATAAAATTAGTTAAACGGTCCTACCCTATCTGCCACTCTATTTAAGCTTCTCCATTTTATTCACCTCTATTTCTAATTCTTGCCAAGTGATACAGGATAAGTTGATCTGGAATGAGTTGTTGGTTGAGGGCATAAACTCTACTGCGGGAATATGGAGGGGGAAAAATTGAAGAAGAAGATGGAGAAAGGGAAGGAAGAAGGGAAGGAAGAGGAGAAGTGGGAAAAAGAATGGGTAGGAAGAGAAGGAGGAAAAAAAAAAAGAAAATGAACAGGATGAGTGGGAAGAAGATGGAGGACGAGGATGAAGACCAGGAAGAGAAGGAATGGGAAAAAAAAGGAAAAGAAAGAGGGGGTGGAAAGAATAAGTAGAAGACGAAGATGCAAAGAAGAAGAAGAAGAAGAAGAAGAGGAAGAAGAAGAAGAAAGAAGAAGAAGAAGAAGAAGAAACGTATAAACCCAAACCTTAGTTCTGCGTCGCTTCATCCTATGAATTCTGGCTGCCAGTTGGATGACTTGCAATGTTTCGTTATAGTGTGCTACCGCTGAAGACACATGAGCTATCATACATGTCCTACACGAAAGGTTGCCGAGGGAATCTCTCAACAACTGTGCGATCTTGCTGTCCCTGAAACAGGTGAAACAACGTTTTTTGAGTTTCTGAGGTTGAAGAAAGGTTAAGTAGAAACGTGCCTAATGATGGGATTGTGATGTGTATTTTTATATCTTCACATTTTGTCTGTTTTCTCCCTGGCGGAGCCGGACTTTTTTCATAAATGACCTTGGCTCTTAAGTCGACACAGCCTTGAGTGGGTACCGGGTGCAGTCACTTGCAGTCGATTTGACAAAAGTCCAGGTTTTGTTGATTTCGACAATGGTATAAGCGTCGACAGGTTAGCAGGTAATGACAAACTATTAAACGTAAAACTGAAAAGTAAAAAAAAAAAAAATGGGGGCAATGAATATTCTTCAACATTTGCAAGAATGCTAAGTGGTTTCCCCTTATTATGTACATACGTTCTATTTTCAAGTATTTGCGTACACATATTATATTTTCTTCTTCTTCTTCTTCTTCTTCTTCTTCTTCTTCTTCTTCTTCTTCTTCTTCTTCTTCTTCTTCTTCTGCTTAGCGTTCTGCGTCTGAAAACTCCGGCAAAAAACCTGGTTATTCGCCCACTTTTGGACTTCAGTCTTGTTCCAGTATTTTTCCGAGCACATCGGTTTGCCGATCTGGACTATTTGTATGCGGGTTGCTAGTTCTTTGCCACTCAGGCAGATGCACACCGATTCCGAAGAAACACCCCTTAATTATCCGCCTAGTACGGCATGCTTGTTAGGGGTCAGTGGGTTTATTCTGTGTTTGTCCTGAAATGGGGCTCCGGTAGCCACACGGAGAATACATTTTATATTACTTCAAATATATCATTACATTTAATTGCCATTCAGCCCAATTATCATCATTATCATCAAGCCTTATATGCCTAATTCGCCTCAAGGCGTTGAAAATGGACTTTCCTAGAATTAGGTTACACACAGTCTCAAACATTTGTGATTCTGTTAGTCAACAGTAGCAATTTACAAGATATATACTAACGACCATCATAAACCCGCGAATGGAGATGGCCGATCAGTAGGCCACTAGCATAAAAAATATAAACAACGCTGTGATGCGGACCAACTAACGCCCAACGTTTGCCGGATGAGTAACCTAAGAGAGTGTTTCCCAAACTTGTCTTGGTAGCGGCGCCTTTGTTCGATTATAATTTTCCCCACGGCGCGATAACCTAAGTAAACGTATGGCTATTCGTGTCTTGGTTAAATTAATTATGAAGCATTTACAATATTTCGCGGCGCCCCTGTGAAGAGGTCCGGCTCCCCGAGGCGCCGCGGCGCACAGTTTGGGAATCACTGACCTAAGAAAAAGAACCACCAAGTTCGGTGTCTGGCAACAGCGCCATTTTGGGTCTTCTGTCCTCATAAACAATGAGGTATAAAAATATTTGACTGACAGACGAAATGATGGTGGATGGTCATCTACTACGGACGTTCTCTGATGAAAAGGGGAAAGGGGGATGTGTAAGTTACAACAAGAACGCCATTAATGTGCGTGAGGATTCATTTGCCTGGACGGGAGGGAAATGAAGCACTGACGGTCAACAGTTGATGACTCAGGATGGTCATCTGATGGTCATCAGAACTAAATCAACTAAATGAACAAAACATAAAACGAGCTTAGTTTAATTGATTAGAGACTAAATCGACACATTTAAAATGAGAATTTTCAATTAGTATATATATATATATATATATATATATATATATATATATATATATATATATATATATATATATATATATGAAACCATAATATATGAGTATGGGCATATGATGACTCAATTTTTTTTATTAAATAATACTTTTAAAACAAAACTAAACGAACACAACATAACAGTTGAGTAGATGATGGTGGAGAAATATGACATGTTAAAAATGAGAACTACTGAATGTTATGAACACTAAGCTCTGGCAATGAAACAGTAATTAAAAAGTAGAATTGGGGGATCTGGTGATGTCCTACAAAAACAAATATGTCACATTTCAGTGGGGGTGGGGACGTGAGGGGTTGGGGTAGGAGAGCAATGAACAGACCGAGAAAGAAAAATGCGTTAATGAGAGATAGATAGATAGAGAGAGAGAGAGAGAGAGAGAGAGAGAGAGAGAGAGAGAGAGAGAGAGAGAGAGAGAGAGAGAGAGAGAGAGAGAGAGAGAGAGAGAGAGAAATGAAATAGTTCAGCCTCGCTAAAATACATAATACATATCAAGAGATGGGCGAAGAGCAGTCGGAGGGAATGTATAAACAGGACAAGAGACAAGCAGTGTTGTAGATCTATTGTAGCTCACGTTCATTGTTAAGAGGGCGTCAGAATGACTGATGAGTTGACTTGAGTTGAAAACCAGCATCACTGCACTGCGGGAACCCCATAACTGCTGCGCACTTGTATTTTGCAGCCAGCGCACAGTTGCAACCCACTGTTGCCAGTAGTAGTTTGATTATAACAACATGAAGTATAAACAAGAAGCTTAAACAAGGAAATGAGAAACAGGCACAGTTGCTACACAATGTTTCGACTAGAATTGGCGACTTCGAAAAGGACAGACAGACGGGCGGGCAGGCGGGCGATCGGACGGACAGACGGACGGACGGACGGACAGACAGACAGACAGACAGACAGACAGACAGACAGACAGACAGACAGACAGACAGACAGACAGACAGACAGACAGACAGACAGACAGACAGACAGACAGACAGACCGACCGACCGACCGACCGACCGACCGACCGACCGACCGACCGACCGACCGAGCGAGCGAGCGAGCGACCGACCGACCGACCGACCGACCGACCGACCGACCGACCGACCGACCGACCGACCGACCGACCGACCGACCGACCGACCGACCGACCGACCGACCGACCGACCGACCGACCGACCGACCGACCGACCGACCGACCGACCGACCGACCGACCGACCGACCGACCGACCGACCGACCGACAGACAGACAGACAGACAGACAGACAGACAGACAGACAGACAGACAGACAGACAGACAGACAGACAGACAGACAGACAGACAGACAGACAGACAGACAGACAGACAGACAGACAGACAGACAGACAGATAGATAAATAGATAGATAGATAGATAGATAGATAGATAGATAGATAGATAGATAGATAGATAGATAGATAGATAGATAGATAGATAGATAGATAGATAGATAGATAGATAGATAGATAGATAGATAGATAGATAGATAGATAGATAGATAGATAGATAGATAGATAGATAGATAAGCAGATAAATAGACGGAGTGAGGGTAGAGAAGTAAAGAGAGAAGGTGAAAGATGGAGAAAGAGAGAGAGAGAGGGGGGAGGAGGAGAGAGAAAGAGTGAAGGAGGACTAAGACACAACGATCTCAGAAGAGTATCACGTCTATGGGATTTCCAATAAAAGCGCGACGAGTTACCTATTACAGATTCAACTTAATAAGACATTACAACGAGCATATTTATAGAAGGATTCTGTAGCCCTTAAATAATGTATCACATTTACAGAGCTGAAAAGTAACAGAAGTGAATGTCCATCCATATGGGAATGCTGACGCAGCCCCAGTTTTCCATGTATTTTCTGGGCTGCTAAAGAATTTATCACAGTTGTAGTCCTATCTTCTTCTCAGAGTCCATGCCGTGTAGCATTGGTAGTCATGTCTATTGAAAATCTTCTGTCTCGTGCACTTTCAGTCAACTCTGACAGACCACCTTTCCATGCCATGATGTCTAACTGTTCAGCATTTTTTCTCTCGGTCTCCCTCTGCCTCTCTTTCCCTCCAACTTTCCTACTGTCACGATGTACTCCAGCTTTCTCCTTCTCATCACATGACCAAAGAATGTAGATTGTCTCTTTCAGATGTGGGCAATCAGTTCTCTTCGTGGGTCCTTTTTCTTCAAGGCGTCTTCATTACTCTTTTTATCTGTCCAGGGTATTCTCATCATCCATGCATTAAAAACCATATCTCCGCAGCTTCCAAATAAGTTTTCACTAATCTACCAACTGTCCATGATTTACTTCCGTATTTCCTATTTTAGAAAAAGACTAAAAAGACGATCACTTTTAACCTGCAGTCTCCGGTCATATTTATTGGTCAGGTTTATTTGCGCTCCGTGTTTGGCTAAGTGTGTGGTAAGTGTGCCATATTGCTGGCTTTGTGTAAAACATAAAAGAAACACTATAGGACTATAACGAGTTCGTTTCTAGAAAATGACTGCAGACAGGTTAAAAACTAAGCGTCACGTTCAACCAGCATCCCCGAAAGGAGAGCTTTAGGTTATAATTGTGACCAAGTTATGTGCGTCACATAAACTGGCTCAACATTGCTCGCCACCAAGTAGCCCTGAAAAGGACTTGCAGTGTTGATGCGATCTAGAGAGATAAACCCAAATACTGTCCCGACCGGCGACGAAGTCGTCTGTCGACCAGCCAATAGGCGACCTGGTCACCGATCAATGCGACGACATCAGTGGTCAGGAAATACCATGGCATCAATTGTCAGGAAATACCATGCTCCAACTGTGGAAGACTTGTCTAAACGCGAGCGGGTCTTGCTAGTCACAAGCACCACCGCAATGGCGTGTGATTTTCATATTGGACCAATGATGGACCGACAAAAAGACTAATGAGGAAGGAAACTGACTCGCGAAGAGAACTGATTGTCCACATCAAACAGAGACAATCTACATTCTTTAGTCATGTAATGAGAAGGAGAAAACAAGTACGCCGTGACAGTAGGAAAGTCGGAGGGGAGAAGAGGCAGAGGAAGACCGAGAGAAAAGATGTTGGACAGTTTGACATCAGGCATGGAGGATCATCTGTGTCAGAGTTGACTGAAAGTGCACGAGACAGAAGCTTGTGGTAGACATGACGGTGCTTTATAGACAGCATACTTCAGATGGCGTCACATGACAGTCCAACTTTTTAGAGGGTTTTAAGACTGGGTTTCCCAAATTTCTGATGCTTTAAACAACCCAAAAAACATCTAGAACTGGCCCTAACCCCAACCCACCAACGTCTCACGACAGAGTGCAGCCTAGGTCCCACAAGTGCAAGCAGCATCTACTACCCCCTGAAACATTAGACTGTCCCATGACCTGTGGATTTACCTTGTTTGGGGTGAGATATTGATAAAGCACCGACATAACTACCAACGCCACACGGCATGGACTTTAGAAAAAAGGAAAACAACAAGGGGAGGGTGGCTGAATGTGCCTAAGCCCCTAGTTTCCCTGATTGTCCTAGCCGTCAACCCAGATTCTCAGCTGCCAAAGCGTCATTTAAGTCTCCGATCGAAAGCTCGTGACCCGACCTTCTCGCAGCCAGACCGCTTCCACTGACAGGAGGATGAGCAAGGGCCACAACTTGGCACTAACACACACCCCAACTATGCTCCCTTGTCAATGGATGAAGGTGGCGGAAGTGGCAATTCATCAACGGCGGAGCATAAATGAGCCAGTCTTCTTTGACTGCAAAACTGAGCTTAGAATAATTCTGAACGATTAGCTTTGACTCATTCAATATCAGACAGGCTTTGCTTCAAATTATCATGTCCGAAACATTTGTCCGTTAACGTAAGTCGGTGTCTGGGTCTGAAAGACTTCAAGTAATAGCAACACTTACTGTGTCCCAATGTCGAATGCAATTTTTTGTTGTTTAAAGCCTGCCTGTTGCCGGTAGCCCCTAATATAACCCAAACTATGGGCTGAACGAGGTTTCTGGGACCTGTCTGCGGGTGATCCTCATCCAAATGGTGGCACTTTGTGTCACCGGACGATTATCGCTCGGTGTGATGCCCTAGCTGGGTTGAACGTCAGCCAGTCGTGACCCGATTAAGACATCAAGTTACACAAGGCTGGGGTAGTCGTTACGGGTGCTCTAATTATGTAATTATAGCTTCTTTGGAGGTTGAATGTGGTAGCGGGAATCTGCTTGGTTGGTCTGCAAAGGGGACAAACTGATCGACCGATAGATCTATTCAATAATAATCATTCATCCTACCACCATATTGCACTGCATGTTACTTTATAACCGTACATGTGCATTAATATAGCCATTTTATACGGCTGTGTGGAGTTTCTAGGATTTTCTCAAATTTGATTCTCATCCTTGAGTTGTTGGTCTTCCGGACAGCAATCCTGGAGGGGAGCGATGACTATCACAGCGTCCAACAATAATAACCTCATACAAACCGAATTAGAGTAACAAATATGGGTACAACAGCTTAACATACCAGCCAGCTGAAAGATAATTAAAGGGTTAACAAGCATATCAAGTAAAGGTGACCACAAAACTCGTGGTGCCATGCTTGCTTGGTACTTAAAAAGTTGAGAAAAAAGCCAAGGAAATTAATTCTTCGACTCGTTTACCAACTGTCCGTGATTAACAGAATAAAAAAAAAAAAAAGTAAATAAAGACATAAATAACAGTTTAAATAACAGACACAATAAAAATTTAAAGAACAGATTAAAAATTAAACTTCAAATAATAGGCATAAATAAAACTTTAAATAACAGACATTAAAAAAAAAAAAAACCGTTAAATAACAGACGTAAATAAAACTTTGAATAATAGACATAAAAAACCTTTAAATTAAAGATTAAAAAAAAAAAAAAACTGCAAATAACAGACATAAATAAAACTTTAAAAATTACCATAAATAAAACTAAATAACAGATATAAATAACACTTTAAAAAAAAAAACTGGTTCTACACCTAACTGCTTGCGTGAGCCACGGTATGGATATGACCAGCCTGCCAGAAGGTCTTGTGTTCAAATCTGCGTCAAGACTGATCTCAAAATTGACCTTCGCTTCCAGGTCTACCCACCCTAAAATGGCTTCAGAAATGGCTTAGGAAGTAAAGGCGGCTGTTGTGACGTAGACCACATCATTCATCAAGTGCCTAAGGGCCCAGCCCCACGTGCCCGATGCGCCACCGGCATGATTTCCTCGCTTTCCTTCGCTCCACTGGGCTGGCGAAAAGTTCTGGTTATTCGTCCACTTCTGGACTTTGGTCGTATTCCAGGACAGGATTTGTGCGTGCATATCCGTTTGTAGAGATCTAGCTTATTTCTATGCTGTTGGTTTATCACCTCTTGGACAGATGTACTTCGACTTCGAAGGAAACATCCCTAAATAGTCGCAACTTGCGACATGCAATGGGTCTATTCATTTTCCCCTGAAATGGGTATCCAGGAATCAACATGCGGACATGCATTTCGAGGGTCCCTAACGTATTTCCTGCATATCTACCTAATCTACAGAAACCCCTGTGGTCGTAGAAACATATATAAAACACAAACCTGTATACATTCTTCTTCTTCTTTTTCTTCGTCTTCTTCTTCTTCTTCTTCTTCTTCTTCTTCTTCTTCTTCTTCTTCTTCTTCTTCTTCTTCTTCTTCTTCTCCTTCTTCTTCTTCTTCTCCTCCTCCTCCTCCTCCTCCTTCTTCTTCTTCTTCTTCTTCTTCTTCTTCTTCTTCTTCTTCTTCTTCTTCTTCTTCTTCTTCTTCTTCTTCTTCTTCTTCTTCTTCTTCTAATGATTCTTCTTCTTCCTCTTCTCCTTCTTCTTCTTCGTGTTCACCAGCTGTAAACTTTGACGGAAAGCTCTGATTGTTTGTTCACTTCTGGACGGTAGTCCTGTTTCAGAATCTGAATGTTACATAAGCATTCGTTTTACAGACCTGACTGTGTATGTAGACTGTTGGTTCCTTGCCTCTCAGGCAGATGCACTGTGACTTCGAAGGAAGCTCCCAATTAGTCGACTCTTACGACATGCTTTTGGGTAGGTAGTGGGTAAATTCTTGTTTTTTTTTCACTATAACAGGGCCAGGGAACCCACACGGAGACATGATATTTTGCGGGCGCTCATGGAAAGAAGTAGACAGATAGAAAGACACCAGACAACAAAACAATCCAAAGTTATAGTTTCCGTGCTGGAAATCGAACCTGTCAACTCGAAAAGACGCTGGCGCCTTTACTGCAGAAACAAGTGTACTAAGATATTTGACCAATAAGGCAACCCTAGATGTGTCCTATCTGTCAACTTATTTATATGAGTGTCTATCAATACATCGTCTGCTTGTTTATTATATATGTTGTTTGTTTGTTTACGTTCACCAGCTGTAAACCCGTCAGAAAGATCATTTCTGGACTTTGGCTTTGTTCCAGGATCTGAGTTTTGTGCAGCAGTTTTACAGATCTTGCTTTTTGTATGCAGAATGTTGGTTCCTTGCCTCTCAGGCAGATGCACTCCGACTTTGAAGAAAGTCCCCCAGTTAGTCGACTCTTACGTCTTGCTGTTGTGGAGGAAGTGGGTCTATTGTTGATTTCCCCCACAATGGTGGACCCCGGAACCCACACGGGGAGTTTATTATATATACCCCAAAAAAAAAAAAAAAAAAGAAGCAAAGATCCCTTTTCACACCTTTAGGCGCATCGGGCATATCGGAAGAGCATCCATATTTGTATAGACCAATCGGCACTAGGTGGGTAATGTGGTCAGCATTACGCCGTCCGTCTTTACTTCAACAGGTATCCGTTTTAATCTGGGTCGATCTGTGACGCCCCATACCATGATAAAAATCCACGCAGCCGGCAGTGGGTTTCGATCACGGAACGTTGGAATTACCAGTCGGACTCGCAACGCCTAAGCCACGGACGTCGTTTATTAAATATATATATATATAATACATTTATTCTCAAAGACACTACAATTCAAACTGACTGACCTGTGTGGCACGTGCCTCTGACCATTGAGCAATGCCATGATGACGTTTCCCAGGGCTGACAGACTGAGTGACACATTGTTGGGGTCCTTGGATTTGGAGGCAGTGCCGAGGTCAATCAAGTGAAGCCTTGACCTTCCGCCGGCCACTGGAACAGAATTATTAGCATTATAGTATAACCCATGGTTATGGTACGAATGAAAAATGGTTTTTAAACACTGTTAACAAGACGATAATGTTAAATTCGTGTGTGTGTCCTTTATATGACTTTGCAGAACCAACCACAGCATTTTTGGGCTGTTGCGGTTTTTGAAGGAAAATTTACGTCAAGCAGTTTGCCACTGCTTCCTAAATAATCGGTTCTGGATGATACTAAGTTAACGCGAGGCAGTCTGCTAACAAATCGCTTGCAGCTGGGATCAAACCCGGCACCCCGGCATTACGAAGCGCGTTCGCAATGCCTAAGAAAACTGTTAAAGTACCTAACTAATAGCGTCCTAAATTGTGTTTGAAGCGAAAAGAAGGGCCCGTTCCAGAGATCTCTCCCTCCCTGACGCAGTGAGGGGTAGAGAAATGAAGAAGAAAACTACGAGGAAAGTCAATAAGTAAGTTACAAATGGCTATGGAATGGCAGAAAAAAAATGTAGTTAGTGGTTTTCGAAAGTGTCATTGGGTGACAACAATATCGAACTTTTTGTCTACGTTTGTAAGTGGCGCTAGGTGTTGCATGCGCAATCACAACACAGAAACAAAATGGCGACCGTACCTACGGAGTGTACCGTAAAAAGAAAAACACAGTGTGCTGTTGTGTGATTTTTTTTGGAGGGGGAAGGGGAAGGGCTGCCTGTAAAGGAAATTCATGAGGAAATGCTTCCCGTTTATGCTAAAACAATATTTATCCCATAAAGGGATGCACTAAAAACTCACCTTGGTGAAAGACATTTCGCGAATGACGCAGAAGTTGAATGTGAAGTGAAAATGTGTTTTAGATAAAAGAACACGCAGTTCAATGCAGCACGTTTTGGAGGACTGATAAATCGATTATAAAACGAAAAAATTATTCTTCCCCACGACGCTTAACGACAGAAGTGATTTATGATGACGATGAAGATGATAAAACAATGGAACAACATCATCAATGTTGGTAGAAATTATGTTAAAAAATAAAGGGACATTGTATGTGTTAAAAAAAAAAAACGGTTTTGAAGTTGTTATCGTCCTCAGTTTTTTTAAAACAACCATTTGTGACTTACTTACTGACTTCCATTCTTATTAATCACAAATACGCTACTCTGTTTACGCCATGAACATAATCAAAAGAACGTTAACTGCATGCTTACGTCACTCATGCAGAAATGGCAACTTATGTAAGCTACCAGTTACTGGTACTACAACGCTAGCTGTGCTCACATATTCTCAAAAAGCGAAGTGACGACGAGGAAAATATCACGCCATACCCTTTCCAGTGTAGTCGTTACATACTAACGCTTATACGTGGGAACTGATCAGGCCTCACCTCTTAAATGTAAAAGTAATACTCTGATCCATTATTACATTTATAAACCGCGATTCCTATGTCTGTATAGCAGCACAGCTGAATTACATACAGTAAGGATGAATATCACATATAATCTATATCGCATATATATATATATATATATATATATATATATATATATATATATATATATATATATATATATATATATATATATATAAATATATATACTCACATTTACACAGACTATATCACATGTAAAGAACTTCTTATATTTCCTAGTTAAATAGAACACACACAAACCATCATGGGGGAGAAAACTGCCTCTATTTAACGAAACAGCCGCACATATTGTTTCACGGCACAAGCAGATCTGAGTGCCTTCAATGAAGTGAAAGGTGCATGGCCTTACTAGATGATAGATCGGTGCAAAACACTGACGCGGAAAAGCCAGTGTAACGAAATTTGTCTGTCCTGGCAAATATACGGTTGTGTCGCTGGCTCCAATTTATCACTGAAGATTACAAATAGCAGTAGAAAAAAATGGTTTACTGATTTAAATTTTAATGGATAGCATGCAACAATAATAAAATGAAAAGAGAAGAGAGCTCCCTCCTCCCCACTCCCCCTTTTTTTTACACATAGACACACTACGCGCGCATATATCTAAAAAAAAAAAAAAAAATAAAGACCTTTAATCCCAGGTCGAACCAGCCTTGAGTGGATACCGGTTGCATTCCCGGGAAGTAAGGGAGGCCGGCGTGATGCTGACTGAACACATCATCCATCTTGTGCCGATTCGTCTATAAAATATGGACTTATATGCCCTATACGCCTAAAGGCGTGGAAAAGGGACCTTTACTTACATATGCTTTATAGACCAAATATTTACTCAATGGGGGACGCTGGGAATATCGTGATGCCATTACCTCTCAAGACAAGACAATCCCTTAGTATTATCCATTTATGCTGGGTTAACTTGGGAGGCAAAGACATTAAAAAAAAAAAAAAAAAGACCTGGAGGATTCGAACCCAAAGCCTTCTTATCGGCGAGAAAGTCTAACCAATGCGCTACCACGACACACGTCGTCATCTATTGTATTAAATGCTATGTATGCTCAACAGCGTCCGTGGCTCAGGCGTTGTGAGTCCTCAGGCGTTGCTAGTTTGACTCGTAATTCCAACGTACCGCGACCGAAACCCACTGCTGGCTGTGTGGATTTTTATCGTGGTAGGGGGCGTCGCAAGTCGACCTAGCCTAAAATGGGTGCCAGGTTGTATGTTCTGGGGAAGTAAAGACAGCCGGCGTAATGCTGACCACATTACCCACCTAGTACCGATTGGTCTGTAAAAATATGGGTGCTCCTCCCATATGCCCGATGCGCATAAAGGCGTGAAATGGGATCTTTACTTTTTCTTATGTATGCCTAATCAAGCTACATAGTGCAGACATCTGAACAATGAACACACATTAAGATACCCCCCCCCCCCCCCCCGCCTCCCCAGCCCCAACACACACTGTTGAACAGAGTATTTCGTAACCTTTTGTGATATCCCATTATAATTACAAATCTGGCCCGGCTCGCTAGCGCAGTTGGTTAACCTGACTTCGCGGCGATCGTGTGCCGGAACTCTAAGTGGTCCGGGTTCACGCCCGGGAGTAGGCAAAAAAGCCACATTTCTCCCAGAAAAAAAAAATAATAATAATCTTTAAAAAAAAAATGGACAAAGAATTAGACAGTGGATTATGAGTCTGCGGAAATTACAAAAAAAAAAAAAAAAAAAGAACAATTCTTGAAAACCACAACAGTAATTTATGGAAAACTGAAGCGGTCGGGAAAAAGAATAAAGTATTAGGGAAAAAATGAAGAAACAGCACACTCCCCCCCCCCCCCCCCCCTTTAAAAAAACAAAACACAATTTTGGTTTTTAACAGTACCTTATTGAATTTTTGCTACACAGACCATAAATTGTTTTTGCCGGAGGGGGAAGATGCGAAGAAAAAAATTAACACAGGGCAGGGAAAATGTAGTATATCCTTTAACCACGGGAGACATAGCGAACGCTAGATATTCTTTGCATTGCGGAGACGGCACCTCCGTGCCTACCGCAGACATTATTAGGAAACCACCACTTGCGAGCGAACTAAAAATCGTGACTGTGAAACCGGTTAGTATTAACTAGTTCAAAAAGTACTTTTAGCCCAGTGAAAAGAAATAAATTTATCAGGGTTTCCGATTAAAAAAAAATCGTTTTAAAAAGACATAAAACATTTAGATAACGGAAATATTTTCTTCAGTGGAAACAACAGAAAAACATAAATATCAAATACAGACGTGCATAAACACCTCTGAAGAACTCGGCAAACAAGATAAGGGTTCAGACAATCTTGCCAACGTACGTAGATACACTGTTATTGCCGGATTATGTAGTAAGTAAAATAAAAGGAAAAAACGGAGGGAGAGAGAGAGAGAGAGAGAGAGAGAGAGAGAGAGAGAGAGAGAGAGAGAGAGAGAGAGAGAGAGAGCGAGAGAGAGAGAGATGGGGGGGGGGGTGAAACGATGTACATTCTTTGGTCATGTCCCCAGAAGTAGAAACCTGAAGTACACCATGACAGTGGGAGAGTTGGAGGGGAAAGGGAGGTAGAAGGAGACTGAGAGAAAAGATGCTGAACAGTTTGACATCATGGCATGGAGGATCATCTCTGTCAGAAACTGATTGTAAGTACACGAGACTGAATGTTGTGGATATACATGACTACCAACGCCACCCGGCACAAACTTCTAAACATTCTGTCTCGTGTACTTTCAGTCAGTTTCTGACACTTATGATCTTCCACGCTATGATTTCAAACTTTTCAGTATCTGTTCTATCAGTCTCTCTCTGCCTCCCCTCCCCTCCAGCTTTCATATTATCATTATGTACTCCAGTTTTCTTCCTCCCATCACATGACCAAAGAATATAGATTGTCTCTTTCTGATGTGGGCAATCAGTTCTCTTCGTGAGTCAATTTTTTCCCCTAAGTCATTTTTACTACTCTTTTTTTTTTTATCTGTCCAGTGTATTCTCATCATTCGCATGATCCTTCCGCAGCTTCCAAATAATTGTTCACAAATCTACCAACTGTGAAAGATTAACTTCCTTATATCAAGATAGGATTGATATAGCTTTTAAGTATTATCTTTCTCATTTCAACTGACAAAGAAAGATTGCTCAAAATAGTCTCCATTTGGTACAATGCTGCCTTTGCTTGAGCTATTGTACATTTAACTTCTTTAATATATATTCCATATGACAATCAGAAGATAAAGAGCCTTGTTCCATCTATTGAGGCGTGTTGGGATGACGGTACTAATCCGGTATTGTTTACAGATGCTTTAACATTAGCAATGGGCAGCTCAACAGTCAAAACAGAGACAGTCAATGTAAACAGAGACATCTTCTACACTTTACAGAAAGTATGACTGCAAGACTTAACACGGTCACAATAACATCCTGGTATATGGTATCACGCTATCTAGTTTATGAATAGCAGTGGAGGCA